AATTGAAAAAGAATTAATTAGTGCTGTTTTATTTGCTACTGAGTATTGGTTTTATTTGCCAAATTAGATGCCCATTTTATCTAAATCTTTAATGGGAATTTCTACTGATTACATTATCCATTACTCATTTTTTTACCCTATTTGAAATGAAATATTTCAGCCTAAGAGTGGAAGGCAGATCCTTTGACAATCCTCTACCATTTCTGACAGTAGAATCTGCAGAAAGCTACTTATATGCTTATTTGCATCAGAACAGGCAAATTGGCTTTGAAAGTTTACATGCAGTCTATCAGATTCACAAGTCTTTCTCCTAGCCTAATTGGATTTCCAGTATGGCCTAACTCCTGAAAATCTCCATGCCTTAGCTATCTATGAGACAAACTGGATTTTTAAAGGTATTAATCAGTATTGTAATAAGAAATCCTTTTTGTGAATCTGGCTCACAGTGCTTGAAAGTGGACAAAGAAAAAAAGGAAGTCAAACCTTGCAACACTAGTGATGCTAATTTCAACAACAGAAAGGGACTCAGTAAATGGAAGAAAATGTCATGTATCAGTCCAAATACTGCCACTGTCATTCTGTTCCTTTTGCTACATCCAAAGGACAATGTGAGGAAAGATCAGACAATTTAGTGGCATATTATGTACCGGTTTTGTGAGCCTTTGCACCCTACACAGTTCTTTTTCACATGCACCATGCATTAGAAGAGAGTGTTTAAGTTACAGCAAAAAAAAAAAAAAAAGTTATTCTTCTTGGAAAAAGGGAGTTATTACTGAAAGGAAGTAAAGCAAATCCTCCTGTAAATCATGTAAATTCCCTTCAGCTCAACTCAAGGGCTTCATTTTCAGTTCAACAATAGAGAATTGCTAAATTCTCTAAAACTTAAGTCAACTGATTTCTAAAGCACACTCAAAACTCCAACAGGTATGTAGCAACCACCTCCTGTGATTTTAACAGAGATTACTGAAGAGGACTTCTCAACCGTTCATGGAGAGAAAATTCTAGTAAAAATAACCTTCAACAAAGTTGTTACATTCGGGTTTCTTTCAGAAAAGACAGCAAACCAAATTTCTGATTGTTTAAAGATAAAGGTCATATGATGGCTTTTAAGGAAAAAGAAAAGCATTCTTTAAAAAAATTTACCAATTACTGATCTTTATATGTGTACATGTACACAGATATACCCCTGAACGAGCAGTGCAGCTCCTGGATTAACTAACTCATTAGTTCATCTGAATGTGTCTGCAGTTTTGTTATGCTTCTAGAACTTCAAAAAAATTGTTCTAGAAGAAAAGAAGTTGTTATTAATGTGACTCTCTGTATGTAGTTAGTATGTAGCTACTAAGAACCAGCTATTCCCCACTATTTTTTCCCAGCTCCAACTAGAGCCACAAAGCTATTATTGGCAGCTGTAGTAAAGCCAGAAATTCAGTGACTGAAGTTAAAAAATGGCATTTAAATCCAGCTGGCACAATCAAAGCAATTACCGAGCATGTCTTTCAGAAGAAAACCAAAATACAGTAAAAACAGAATTAAATGTAAATACAACACATTTTTTAAGCAAGTATTCAGAGACACAATACTGGAAAAAAAAAATATGTTGAATTCCCTTTGAGAGAATGAATGTCAAATGGCTGAGTGTCATTGGTGTGACTTTCAAATGTATTAAAAAAATGGATCACACTGGAATTATACTGTTACAGCAATGAGTTCAGACTCTATCGTCCAGGTCCTTGTGTAACACAAACTGACATGTATCTACAAATAGAACACAAGTATTTTTTTGTGGTTTTTTTTTTTTTTTTCCCCCATTTACTACTTACCTCTTATCAGATCCTGACACTCAATTCTAAAAAGAGTTTGAAAAAGATTTTTCCCATTTTGTTAGATCTATGCTTTTTAGGTATTTGTGGCTATTGCATCAACATGAGCATGGGGTCCAGGTAAGTCCTGTGTCACAGGTATACTGTTCTCGTTACCTAAGTACCACACTGAGACTTAGCCTGTCTCTCATCTCACACAGGCGTCTCTCCTGTGTCTGGCAATGAAGATTATTCACCCAGGCAGTAAATAATTGTACTACCTCTACAAAAATTTCTCTGAAGTCATCACATTTCATACTGGAATGCCAACTTTAAACATTTTTTCAGGAAAAATATCAAGTATCACCTCAAGACAGCCTGTAACGTAATGCTACGAAGTTGGTCTTCGCCATACAACTCAGTAACTGGAACCTCAGTCTTCTGCTTCCCTGACGCTGCTTTCAGCTGCATGGGACTGGTTACTCTGCAGTGGGCTCCTCCACGGCAAGAAATCCTACTGTCCTCTAACCTTGTTTAAGCATTTCTAAAGAAGGCTTTGCAAGTTGGAATGTTCTCATCAAAAACCTCATTCAGAAAATTCCCCCATGTGTGTGGTTATATGATCTGACTAGCTACTTGGAGCTAAATGAGTTGACCAAAATCAATGTGTCTGGCTGTCAAGAATAAATTCACTGGAATTAGTTTTTCACTAACTACATTATATTGGTTAGCAGGCATATTGGTCTCTTGGAGAAGTTCTTAGGTGAAAAGGCATTTTCTGAAGAGTTAAAAAAAAAGCAGGAATCTTTCACTCATTTTTGTAGTCATCAACTCAAAGATCATGAACTTTACTGGGTGGGAATCACTGAGCACTGCAGAGTATCTGAAACTTCATAGTTCACATTATATGTTACAGAAGCTCAATGCCTATTACTTTGCTTGAATTTATTGATTCCTCAAACTAACATCACTACTCACCATCTAAAACTGACAGAGGAAAAAGAACATAAACCCAAAACGTTGTGAATCCCATTTGTCTGTGTTAGCAGTGATGAAGGCAATACATTACCTTCTTCATAAATCCATCAGCATCATCAAGCAACAAATTTATTCCCTCATTTATAGTCAACTGAAATAAAAAAGAACCTTTCCACTGAAGTCTTTTATCTGATGCCTGCTAATCCTCTTCTCACAAAAAAATAGTTTGTCGATGGGCACAATTCTGGAAGAGGATAAAGCCATTTGGCCTACTTTATGTACAGCTCCATGATGCTGCCTAATTAAAAATTCATCACATTCACTTAATTCAGCATTCTTTCATGTTCTCAGGAGAACAGTTTGGAAAGGTTCACTAAGAAGATGACACCCATTAATCACCCTATTTTGCAAACTCTATTAAGTTCCAGGCCAAACAAAGAATACAGCAGTGCTGTAGCATTTTCACCTATTTGGTGATCAAAGTTCAAGCAGTAATATTAGATTTTTTCCTTCTATCCTACCCCCCTCCCTCAGTTCAGAATAAAACTAAAAATCTTAAGTCTTGAAGACGCATTTTTACCCACATAAACACCCAAATATGACCGTCAAACACAAAACAACTGTATTTTGAAAGGACATTTTTTAAATGCAGCTTTAACTTTCTCCAATTTCTCTCCTCAAACCTAACTGATGTTGATTTTTATCTAAGGCAATATTTACTACCAACTTCTGAGTTTCAATGAATAGTTTTCTTTCTTGCCTGTAGCTGAACATCCTAACCAACTGCACTTCTGCAAATACAAAACAACTTAATGGAGTTCAGAGTTCTCACTTGAGATTGACTAAATTAACACAGGCAAATAAATCAAGTTAGCAAAGGGCTACCATTTAAATATTTTTTCTGTCTCTTCACAGGGCATATCTATATTCAGACAAGGAGAAACATCCACATCAAAATTTAATACAATTTCTTCAGTCGCTGAGCTTTTCCTTTTCAGGTTGAAACTAGGTGATGGGAATAAAAAAAAAACCAAACTGTATCACAGCTGCCAGACGTACATATGCAATAATATCAGCACGTATATTTTGAAGCAACTAGTAAAAAACAGGAAAGGATATTTAAAATGATATAGTATCAGATTTTAACTGAAATCTTCTAGCACCCATGCTTGCTTACCCAGTGAAACCAGTTACACTAAGAGTGCAGTAGCTTCAACTGGAACCTCACTGAGAATCTTACTTACAAAATCTTCATGCTAAATTTTTGGTCTGTGTCATGCTTTTGGAACATTTTGATTTTGTTTTGGAGGAACTATCAACTTCATTCATATCCCGTTGCTACATTTTCAGGAGACCTTGAAGAGCCTCTTCTCCATCATTTATTTTGGGCACCAGGAAAAAAAAAAAAAATGCTAAAACATATGAGAGGCGAGCAGAAATAGCTTTCTGAAAGCAGATCTCTTTCCTTCAGCATTCTAGTTTGATGCTACACTGACTGTGAACAAGAAGATCTTCCACAGTAGTTGTGTAAGGTGCAGCAACAGCTGTGTGTACTTCAGATGGGCTATCCACAGCCAGAGAATTTAAAAATCAGTTTTGGACTTGAAAATTCCTACTCGTGTGTGTATATACAGACTCATTTTGCAGTTAGAAGGATAAGATAATTCTAAGAATACCTCCTTTCCTAGACTTAATTGACGCATCAAGACAGTATTAATGCAGGTACAAATATGCCCAAATTACAGCTATTTTTCTGTGTTGATTTTTCTTTCTAGATTGGAGCACTATTTATATATTAATATCTAAAGCAAATACACACAACTATCTAAAGCAAAAAGCCCAGCGTAACAACTGCATCTGTGACAATGCTGAGAAACACAACTGTAGAGAAATAAGAAAAACTGAATAACGATTATTTCAAAGGATTTTCAAATACAAGATTCCAAGTGATTGTATCATGAACGATTATTATGGGAAAAGGTTACACTGAATGTATGAAAAAAATAACTGCTCTGTCTTTAGTTGCTATTTATTGGTAGCCTAACAGGTGAAAAAGATTGAGGAAATTTATGACAGAGCTTGGGTTTTTTATCCACGTTTAGTCCTCTCTTCCAAAAACCTGGCAGTTCAGGGTAAGTATGGCCTTTCCAGACTAAAATACTGCAAGTGTAATTGAAGAATCATTAATTTATTAGTATTTCAGTTCAGACACAAACTTACCTAGAAAAGGATCACTGTATTCTGTATTAGACAGCTTAAGCAAGTTGTTTTCCAAAGTCTCCATCACTTTAGCTGGAATAAATGCAATATTCATATTAGCATCCACAAGTATTTTGTAAGTCAAAGATATGCTTTTTAAAGCTCTTTTCCAAAATAAGCTGAAATTCATCTGGATTTTCTCCCTTTTCTCTCATTCTCTCCATAGCACTCTTCCCTGATTCTGCTATTCATGAATGAATGCATCTACTCCTACATGTTCATACTTAAAGACTTTTTTTTTGCCATAAGTTATTTATTTTTTTCTCCCTCTCCCAGGAGAGATGATGGAAATCTTCATGTTTTTCGACAGCATACAGGAGCCCTTTCTGCTCGTTTCCAGTGAAAAGGGAATAATCTTGTCATTCAGAAAAAGAAAATAAAAATTAGTTTAAGCCTCATTTCAAACACTGAAGAGATTCATTCAAGAATTCAGTACCAAGGTTCTTCTGGTTGTTTTGTGCAAAAATATCTCTCCAACAAATCACAGGTATCTAAACAAACCAAAGCTTACCCTAGAATTTAATGGGAAATACTAAAAAAATTATATCTACAATACCACAGGACTTCCAATGATATTCCCATCGAATCTTTCCCGTTCCCAGTGGAATAAGTTCCTGAAAGATAAAAGTCTCCTACCTCGTTCTGACACTACATCCACCGTAGCTGTAGATGTGCCTGCACTCAGAGCCTGTGGCCGGGGCTGCAGCTGCACACGGGTTGGCTGCAGGAAAGACGAGTGCTTGCTCAGACTCTGAGGATGTGTTTGGCTCTGGGCTAGGCATGGCATAGATCTTCTAGAGGGTTTTAATGGATGCTCTTTCACTGTCTCACTCTTGCTTGTATTCATACCTGAAAAAAAACAAATTAAAAAAAGAACATGAGCTCTGCCATTTAGGCAATGACAAAGAAAGACGCTCATTATGAGAACTCAAGGTGACTCATCCACTTAACCAACTCTCCAACTATACACTAAATAACCCAAGTACATTGTCTAAGAAAGTACAACTGATGATGTAATAGCGACAAGAAAGAAAGGGAAAAGAGAACTGATGTTCTGCCTCTTTTCCTTGGAGGGCTGTTGGCCAGGACACAGCTGCAGAGTCCCCTCCTGCCCAGGCTGCAGCACACGGTCCCCAGCCACGGGTCCTGTACAGAGCTGTTTGCCAGTGCACACCAAAGCACTGCCACCAGCTCTGTTAACATTAGCACCCGCATCACATGGGATTTAGAAAGAGCTACAATGTGCCATAAGGCCATTATTCTTTCCTTTTCATCCCCAGCACTGTGAAGGTGTTCTCATTCACATTCCTTTAATCGCACTAAGCTACAAAAATGTAGGCCTGGAACAATTTAATGGAACTCAAATCCACATACTCAGCTCATACCAGGTATTTCATAAAAGAACAAGAAGGTTAAATGCGACCTTCATGGAAACCTGCAATAAGTCAGGAACATTAAAAAAAATCTCACTGTGAAATGAAAGGGTGATTAAAGCAAGCACATTTTGCTTTGTTACCGTTCTGCTGTCCATTGCTGCTGGATCAAAGGCTAATGAGAGGTGGTCTAGAAGTCATTTT